TGTTATTTGGAGATTTTCTGTCACAGTCACACCTAATCTTAACTGATAAAATAGTCAAGTGGTTTGTTCTACTTAACATGGGAAAGAAAAACTGAGCTTTTACAAAGTTTGAAGGAAATATCTCCTTAAGCTTTAGAAACTCCTGAATCTTTTATATCAAAAGCTCAACTTTGAACAGTGAATTTTCATATCCACTATAATTTTGTGACATGCAATTAAGTGATGTGATTCAAAAGCAAAGAAATCACTAAGGTGACAAAAGATTTTAATACTATCCAGACTACTAGAACAATTCTTATTTTTAAGAAATACTTTTTAAAGAAGCCTGAGAAGAGCGCTGCTGTGAAAATTATCGCAACTTCAGTTGTGCTGGTAAGCACTGCATTGCTTGAAGGCTACTCACCATCCCCTCAGGAGAAACACATCTTTTTACCTTATTTGTCTATAACTTAAGATCTTTCCTCTTCAACATCTCATTGAATCCTCAAAACAACCCTATCAGGTTGTTTTACAGACAAGGAAAATAGGACTTGGAGGAATTATATGTCACACACAAGTTAAGTGAGGTGGAGCCAGATCCAGACCACACTGACTCAGAGCTGCAGGAGATTTAGATAAGGGAGTGTTCACTTGGAGTGTCAGATCCATCCTCCACTTAGTGGGGTTCCCCCAGCACCACTGACCTTTAGTCAGAGCTCCACAAGGCAGGATGAAGGTCACTTGTCTTTGCATGGCCTCTGACGCCATCCCCATCTCAGCCTACCTTACCTTCCCAGCCTCATCTCCCACTGCATGTCCCACAGCCCACGTGTGTTTGCACCTCTGAGCCTGGGCCTCCTCTTCATTTCCTCCTCTACCTGCTCAAAGGCTGTGCTAATGCCCTCTCTTTGGGAAGCTGAGCCCCTGAGGGTCTCATCTGTCCCCCTCATATTAATTATTCCTTCCTCTGTGTCCCCATGCCCTTTGCTTGTATTGAAACCTGAATCTTGTTAGACCTGTGGGTTTCCAGTCTATGATTTTTCACTCTGAACAGATACCTGACTTGAGTTCAGGAAACAAAGCTTCTGCATCTGTGCTTTCCCAGCTGACCTCACTCTTTTAGACTCAGGAGTACTCAAGTAAATATACGTTGAGATGAATTAAGTGGATTTTATTTGCTTTTCAGATTACTAAAAATGCTTTAGTTTGCAAGTGTTTTTCATGTTATATCCAACTCTTGTCAGTCAGGATTCTCTAGAGACACAGAACTAATAGGACATACATAGATATATAAGAGGAGATTTACTAGGGAATTGGCTCAGATAATTATGGAGGCTGAGATATGCCATGATATGCCTTCTGTAAACTGGAGAACGAGGAAAGCCGGTGGCATAATCCTGTCTGAATCTGAAGCCCAGAGAACCAGGGGAACCAGTAGTGTAACTCCCAGTCCGAGCCCAAAGGCCTGAGAACCAAGGGAGGGGGGATGAGGTTGTGAGGGGTGCTGGTATAAGTCCCAGAGTCCAAAGCCCCAAGAAACAGGAGCTCTGATGTCTGAGGGCAGGAGATTAATGTCCTAGCTCAAGAAGAAAGAATAAATTTGCCCTTCCTCTGCTGTTTTGTTCTGTTCGATCCTCAACAGACTGGATGATGCCCACCTGCATTGTACAGATCTTCTTTACTCAGTCTACTAATTCAAATTCTAATCTTTTCTGGAAACATCCTCACAGACATACCCAGAAATAATGGTTTACCGGCAATCTGGGCATCCCTTAGCTTAGTCGAGTTGACCCATAAAATTCACCATCACAACTCGACCCTTTGCCAACTTAGCACCCATATGCATCTTCTTAAGTCATATTTAATCTCCAAATAAAGACAATAATAAGGTCATAATTCCACCTAACATGATACAACTATCCTATGTACAACCAAAAACACACTAAGTCCTTCCCTAGAAGAGGAGGTAAATCCTTGAGTGATGTTTACTTTTCTGATATCCCATGACTTAAATACTATCATGTAAAATTAAATACTACTTAAATACTGATATAAAGTCAATACATCTTATGTTACATGATACAGAAATAAGAGAGGAAACAAAACAAAGATATTTGCTTAATACATGTATATACACATAGGACGTATTCATAACAAATAAGGAAATACTCGTGACGATTACAGTCCTTGTTTCTCTGATCATACAGTAGTCGTTGGTATTTATAACTACCTTCTTCTACTACTCATTCTGTACTCCCTTTGCCTTCAGCAAGAACCTCAGCTGGTTCATGGTTTTTTACCTAGCAGGATGACCCAAACCTTCATTCCTGAAGGGTCTGGGCCATTAGTATACCTGCTTGGATTGGGTGGTAGTTTTCCATTGATCACAGAGCACTAAGAGATGCCCTAAGAGATCTCCTGCTTTTCAGACATACTCTTCCTTACCTCCACTGTGGAATGGTAGTCCAATTTCCCCTTGGAAATCCAGATCAATCACCCTGGCCAACACTGTAATGCCCTTGTTGGCCTGTTGGCTCAGAGGCATGAGGAGACCAAAGTGGCTGGCTGGCAGTTTTAACTTCCTTCCAGTTCAACGGAATCATTGTATCTCCTGGGGGAAGCATTCCTCACTCTGGAACTAAGATCCCTAGGCCTGCAGAGCATAAAGTCACGGGAACAGGGAGCAAAACTTTTGCTAGTGGGTCACTAGGGGTAATGGTGAGTACTGTCACTCCCATTTCCACCCATTGATTCCTGGACCCGTGAATCCTGGCTATCAGAGAAATAGTAACATATATTGGATGCTGTTCAGAGCACACAGCCTTCTGGAGAACCTTGCCCTAGTCCTGCAAGGTATTGCCACCTAGTTAGCACTGTAACTGAGTCTTCAGAAGGCCAATCCATTGTTCTATGAAGCCAGCTGCTTCAGGATGGTGAAGAACATACACCTCTAAGCTGCAGGATGTGGCCTAAATGGGTGCTGTCGCTGGGAAGGAGCCATGCTGTGGGTATCTGGCCTGCGGAACTGATCACATCATCTCCTGGGCCCTATAATGCCCCACGTGACTTGACTGCTCTGTTGGTAAGTCTGAGAGGGGGTTGTGCTTTGACAGCGTTCTCTTTTCAAGGTGTTTGTGCACCTGAGAATAGGAACTGTGTCTTAGCTCTGGAATGGTTAAGTGCCTAACAGAGGGCCTGAAACCCATTAAGTGTCATGGGCAATGACCCCAATGTGAATTTTGTCAATATGGTAACAGCTTTGCTCATCTGAACCTCTAAATTGAAACACAGCAGTAAACTTAGACAAAGTCATAAACCCGGAAGTATATTCTTTCGCTTACTATTAAGAATAGTTTAGGCTGGCCCAGTGGCGCAAGTGGTTAAGTGCGCGCGCTCCGCTTCAGCAGCCCAGGGTTCGCAGGTTCGGATCCCAGGCGCGCACCAACACACCACTTCTCAAGCCATGCTGTGGTGGCGTTCCATATAAAGTAGAGGAAGATGGGCACAGATGTTAACTCAGGGCCAATCTTCCTCAGCAAAAAGAGGAGGATTGGCAACGGATGTTAGCTTAGGGCTGATCTTCCTCACAAGAAAAAAAAAAGAATAGTGTAACACTGCTCATTTAATCACCCAGATTCAGCTACTGACCACACTACCATGCAGTCTACTTGGAAGTATTTTTTTGAGTTCCAGTGGAACTCTCTGACCGAAGGGGAAACTAAGCTCAGAAAGTAGAAGTGACCATCATGTTCCCGCAGCAAGTCAGGGCAGACCTGGACCCAGCGCCTGGCTCTGTGATCTTGCCCACAATTCCCTCCACCCAAGTCCAATCCCTTCCACCATCCAACCTTTGTGAATCCTCAGAAATGTTCTCTTGTTCCCCATCCCAGTACTTCTAATTCTGTGAGCCAGACACTCTGCTCTGGCTCTGAGCTAGAAGGTCTGCAAAGAAATTCAGTCATAGGTGATTTAGGGAAGAGGCTGGTTTTTTGTTTTTGTATTTCATTTTATATCCTAAATAATACCTCCTGGCAATCCACATTTGATGACTATTCAGGAGTGTTGAGAGTAATGGCAGAATGAGCAGCAGCTGTGTTCAGAATCAGCGCGTTGCACTTGGTGATGTGATCTGGTTACAGGGGCTTGCTTTCTCTCTGTGGGAAATTCTTCGTAATTCACACCCACAAGGACTTTCGCCGGGGCCAGTTATTCTGCCAAGTGCCCATCCTGTGACTACCACCTGGGTCAGGTGTTTGCAAACACCCTGATACCTGCAAAATTGCATCTCTGGTGGCAGAAGGCAGCCCGGATTCCAGGCTACTGGGAGTAAGCCTGGGAGGCCCCCTTACTTGGCCCAGGTTCCATCTCTGTGCCTCTTCCACAGCTCCTTCGGCTCTGCTCCCAGGATTCTCATCTTCACCTTCAGACTCCTGTACAGCCAAGGATCTTGCTGTGGCCCTTGCAACTGCTATGAGAACAGTCCAGTGTTGCCCCTGGGAGAGGATCTCCCTAGGGAAACCTATGCCCTTGGAGCCAATGTAGTGCTCAAGGCTCTGGAGGACATAAACATCTGGATGGACAGTGTGCCTGCAGATGTTAGCACATACCAAGGTTTGAAAACTCGTTCTGAGTCTTTATAAAACCCAAAAGGAAGATGTCCATTTTTTGAGTCTCAAGGAGAGGGCTCCATGTAATAAAATACAAGCAGAATTAGCACTTTTTAGGGAAAAGTTTATCTCATTCAGAGACATCATGTTTCCCTTTTTGCCTAGGCTGCTATGAAGCTTCAGTCTAAACTTAGTTTTCAAATGCTTTTATTGTTTCATCCCAAGCATCTAGCACAATGATATCCCTTCCTGTTAAACTGTTTACATGCCTCCTTTTTATTTTCTACTCTAACTCTTCTTATTTTCCAATATAATATTACAAGCTAGTTGTCCCAAGGCTCAGAGTGGGTAATACACAAATTTAAGTACATTTATAATGAACAATAACAATACTGGAGGCAGAGACGATTATTTTCAGTATTGCATATTTATTCAAAAGCACATAAATATAATGTTATATAGTATATAATTTAAACACTATAGAACTTGACTTGAATAATAAAACATTGTACTAAGAAAGAAATATTGCTCATGAAGATGTCTGTGCCTACCCAAGTCAGAGTCCCTCGTTTACGTCACAGAAGCACGGTGGCACGGGATCAAAGTCGGCATACAAGCTACATTCGTCACAGCATTGGAGGTTGGGACAAGACCCAGTGGCGATGGCAGTGGCTGTAGCGAGCTTGTCCTGGGTGAGCATGGCTGGATTATTTTTTAAGGCCAAACAAGCAGGTACCTTTGGGGCTCTTGAGAAAAGACATACACACACAAATGGGATTAGAATTTTTCTTCTCAGTCCATTTGTTACAATTGTCAGGGGTATCTGGGAAGTTTAGGGCTGGAGCCAATCAAACACATAACACCAGCCTGAAATTAAACCTCTCTGCCTCCGTCCTAAATCCTATCCAATCCCTTCCTCTCCTAATATTGCTAGCAACGTAAAAGCAGGTTATAGCAAATGAGGGAGAGTGAATTGCAAGGGTGATCACCCAGCTGATGGCGGCAGGCCCGCCAAGTGCAGAGCATGACAGAGAAGGTGCCACAGTCGGCTGTCCCCCAGATCTTGAGATTTACCTTCTAGCTCACAGGCTTAACTTCCCCAGAATGGGAACATCACTGCTTCTGACAACTAATCTCTCCCATATTTGAAGGTTCCTCTCCCCCAAATTTAATTATCTCTTATTTGATCTATACTCCCTTGTGAAATGTCACCCAGGATCTTCACACAGCTCAACTTCCACATAGTCCTATAGGCCCACCTCACTGTCCCCAAGGCCATGGCAATGAATGAGAGAGCACCCTGAGAGCTCCCCAGCTCAGGCAAGGGGAGATCAGTTCAGCCCAACCTCTGAGTGAACGCGAGGCAGAGCCTCATACACAGCCTCCCCCGCAGTCTTCAGTCTGCAGTGCCTGGGACAGAGAGAGGGCCCAGCCAGTATGCTGATGTAACCAGCTGAGGGTAAACTCAACCAAGTCAAGTGACAGCAAAGCAGTGCTGACACACTGCTGCCAGCTGAGAACATTCTACTTATGAGCTCACAGCCCCAGGCCAGAAGGGGAAGAAGCCAAGATTCTACACTCACCTGCCTTTGCCTTTTCAAACCCGCCTGCTGTTCCTGACCTCACCCAGGGTGTGGCCACAGGCCAAGGAATGACCCTGCTCAAGTAGAGAGCCCCAGGAATCCCGTTTGAGGGGGGTTCTTATTCACTCTTACCCACATCACTCACTTCAATGTGTTGGCCACTTTGCAGCAAAGATAGATGACAACACCCATCAGCACAAACGCGGTGATCAGTAAGCCGCCACCAATGGCAACCATAATCTTGAGGTCAAACATCTTACACCCACCTGGGCAGAGAAGTACAGGCAAGCGGTGAATGTGGCTTCCCTCCCCACACAGCCACCCAGCACCCTCAATATGCTTCCTTAAGTGGAGGAAGAATGAACCCCAAACCACAGAGCCCTATGTGCATAAAACATGAATGAATCTTTCCAGAAAAGCCTAGGATCGTAAGCTGGCCCAGGATGTGTTAAAAGGGACTGAAATGCAAAGTCCAGAGAGAAGGAAATTGGGAGAGAAATTGGGAAGAATCTTTTCCCTTTCACAGGCAGTAATATGCAACTGTAAGTAAAAAACAGGCCTGCACTTGAGCAAATGGTTTTATTCCCAAACACCTGGGTCTCATGAAATATCTTCACTGATAGAGTCAGGATTGACCCCCCTTGCTGTTTATCAAGTTTAAAAATATTTTATAGGAATAACTTTTTTCAAAATGTCATACTGTGCAATACTGAGAATATGCAAACCCATTTTGTGAGTGATATGTTTTAAGGAAAAGAGCTCTTAATTCTCCCAACTGAAAACTGTCTTGCCATCTCATGGTTTAAGGAGATTATAGGAGCCCTTGTCCCTCATTCTGTCTCTCTAGGAAACCATAGGCCTTTGTACCATTTCTCCTCCAAAATCCACCCAGGAAATCCAATTTGTCTGAAATAAGCAATTTGCTTAATCTAACACTCTGAAACTGGGGAACAGTGAAAAATGGAAGAAACAAGCAATTCAACTGCTAAGTATACTTACTAAAGTTAAACCACCCAGATCCATATGAAGGCCACCTGCAAAGAAAAAAAAAAAAATTAGGGAACAGGATATTTTATCAAACCGGGAATTTGAGAAAGAGGGATCTAACTATCCCCGTTAAGAGGAATTAAGACCCAAGGCTGAAGAGCTCACCTTAGAAGCACGGCCACTGCCCAGGTCCAACTTCTCTGCCACAGGCATGTGACATCAACACTCTGGACACCAGCAACCTTTCATGGAGTTCTGAATTCTGTTCCATGTGTAGGTACATTTTAGCCCCTATGAGGTAGAAATACTATTTTGAATCACTTAATTCTAAGTCTTTACCTTTTTAAGTCTTCTTTCCCTCATATTAATTTTCAGGATTTGACTGCTAATCAAAAGCAGGTTTAAGATTTCAATTTCAAAAATAAAAGAAAAAGACAGTAATGTGGGGAGGCTAAAATACCCTTCTACTTAAAAGTTCAATTATAGAAGAATGGCTAGACTTTATGCTTTAGCTACTCAACAAAATAATATGGAGTCATTTACTAGGATTCAAGCATATGCTCATCGACACTGGAAGATTTTTATACTTTATAGTTAAGGGTTACATAAATGAAAATTGACTAGGGTACTTGTTCTAGTCAGGTGTGTGTGATTTTAAGGTACTTATACTCAGCCAATCTAGTAATATTACATGAGGAGACTCCAGGTGCAGACAAGATGGCTTAGATTTGTTTCTCCCTGCTCCTCCCTGTGAAGCATAATTGTAACCCCTGTAAAAAACACAAGAGTCAAACAAAGGAGAACTCTAAAAGTTGGAAAGAGGAAAGCAAACTAGTTAGGGACCCAGGCCTAGATGAGCAACACAGCAGCAGGACAGAAGGAGGTGGCCCAAGGGTGGTGTTTTCCAACTCTGAATATAGCATCAGAAGGTGGCTCCAGTGGGATCATCCCCCCTTGATTTAATGTGGGTCCTGCTGACAAGCCCAGGCCAGCCCAGCAATAGAGGCATGGTGGACGGTGTGGGAGCCCCACTGACAATAAGTGGCCAGGGGAAGTGCATTGTTCCCTCACTGTTTCCAAGACTCCTCTCCTCCACTGAGAGACAGCAGGGTGGCCAGTTGGCAGCTCAAAGGGGATCCCACCATAACAAGCATCTTTGTCCCCATGGGCCAGAGATTCCCTTCTCCCACCTAGATGCACCAGGTGGCTCTAGCCTGGGGAATCTCCTTCTGCTCCTTCAGGCAGCACTGTCAGGGACCTGGGAGCCCGAGTGACACCAGAGAAACTAAGCAGATCAAAATAGCACTGCAAAGTCCCTGACTATTAAATTGCCATTGGAACCTCATTCCACAAAAGTAGGCCAGGACCTGCATGCTAAACCTAAGCAGGGTGACTACTTAATAAAATAAAAGATTTAAATAGGACCTCCTAGAGTCTCCTAACATAATTATAGCCAAAATATCCAGGATTCAATGGAAAGTCATGTGCTAGACCAAGAACCAGAGAAGTAACACCTGAATGACAAAAGACCACAAATTGATGCCAACAAGAAGATATATCAAATGTTGGAATTATCCAAAAAGGACTTAAAGGAGCCATTATAAATAGTCTTCAACAATTAATAACACATCTTCTTGAAACAATGAAAATATAAAAATTCCAGCAAACAGAGGGAAGCTATAACAAAAGAAAAGTTAAAGGAAAAACAAAGTGAAAATAGCTGACAAAAGTGATGGGGACGGGAGGAGTATTTATCTGGGATGGTCAGGGAAGGCCTTTCTGAGGAGGTGACATTTCAGCAGAGGCCTGGAAAAAGGCAGGAAGCAAAGTGAGGAGGTATATTCCAGGCAAGAAAATATTAACTATAGAATCCTGAAGCTGCAATGGGTTTGGTGTGTTCAAGGAACAATAAAAGGGCCATTGTGGCTGGAGTGGGAAGCATGAACGGGAGAGTGGCAGCAGGAGACGAGTTGGAAAAATTAGCGAAAGACACAGTCTTGTGGGCGTCTAGTTTTTTTTCTAGAATGCCTTTGGAGGGTGTCAATTGCGGTTTTGGGAGGGAACCCATGCAATCTGGCTGCAGAGCCTGTGCTTTTAAACATAGACTAGCGGTTCTGACACTGAGTATGCATCCACATGAGCTGGAGTGCTTCATGAAACACGACAGCTGGCCCCACTCCCCGAGATTCTCATTCAGTATGTCTGAGGTGAGGCCTGAGAACTGGCATTTCAAATAGGTTCCCAGGTAGTGCTGCTGCTGCTGCTTCCTGAAACAGACTCGAGAACCACTGCTCAGTATAACTGACTTTGAATGTGACTTCCCTTTAGCACTTAAGATAGGATATAGAAGAGCGACTTTCAAATTTACTCGAATAGTAGTAATATTAAGAAACATGTATGTTATTCTTGCTGTTTAAGAAGATAGAGAACAGAACAGTAGAAAGAGGGGGAGAAAAATTTAACATTTACTGGACATCTTAATATACCAAACCTGTGCTGTGGGCATTATCTTCAAAATACTATAAACTTCATATAAGAGAATGAAGTAGGCTGTGAGATATCCCATTTTACAGAAGAGAAAGCTGAGGTCAAGAAAGGTAAAATCATTTGTCTAAAGTTATCCAACAGGGCCGGCCTCGTGGCTTGGCGGTTGGGTGCACGCGCTCCGCTGCTGGCAGCCCAGGGTTCGGATCCTGGGCGCGCACCGACGCACCGCTTCTCCGGCCATGCTGAGGCCGCGTCCCATATACAGCAGCTAGAAGGATGTGCAGCTATGACATACAACTATCTACTGGGGCTTTGGGGGGAAAAAAATAAATAAATAAAGTTATCCAGCAGCAAGTGATTAAGGTGGAAGGAGAATTCAGGTTTGTCTACCCTTGTGTGTTTTCCTCTAAGCCATCTTGGAAATATGTCCTCTGAGGGCATTTGGAGAGACAATATCAGAATGGGTAGAAAACAATAATCCTGGGCTGCCCTGTCCAATGCAGGGCATGGGACCATCCTTAAGAATGAGGAAGTGTGATGTGAGGAAGGGACAACTAGGAAATTGCCAAAGAGCTTTACCTTGAGAGAGGTGGCCATGGAAGAGGAGCTGCTTCACCTTTCTACAGCCTTGGATTTCAAATGTCAAAGTGGATCAATTCCAAATAGGAAGGTTCCACACCCAATAGTCACATGGGTGTGGGGAACAGGAGAGATGGAAGCAGGGAGAAGGAAAGGAGTCCTGGGTTCCAGGCCTGTCTTCCCCACTTATTTGATAGAGTCATTGGCAAAGCAGTTCAGCTCCGTGAGCCTATTGCTTTGTCTCTAAAGTGAAGAGATAATGAATGCTGTGTGGTTGGACAGTGGTGGTGGTGGTGATGGTGGTTGTTGATGTTTGAGAGGTTTTGATGAGAACAGATGTGTCACCACTTTGGAAACTGTGATGCCAATGTGAGCAGCTGACCCCTTTGCTAGTGGTTTTTCTCCAGCCGCAGGTGTGTTCTGTTCACAGGCTTGATCCAGATGGAAAATGTGAAAGTGAAAACATTCAAGTTCTTGATGGAACCTCCACCAAGGGGTCTCTGCTGGGCCCCACCACAGACTCTGATTCATGGGTTCTGGGGTTGAGTCCATGAGTATGCCTTTCTAACCAGCTCCCAGGTGAGGCAAATGGATGAGACTGATCAGATGGCTACATGTTGAGGTGTACTGTGTTAGAGACCAAGGCAGACTCTCCAAGTTCAGCCTATTTAATAATAACAACCCTGAGATGTTATGAAATGCCCATTCAGGGATCACTCCTCCCTCTGGTCTGAATCATTAGATCTGCGTTGGGGCTGTAGAACCTTCATGTTTAACAAGTTCACCAGGTGCTTCTGACAAAGACTGGAGAGCAAGTGATGAGAAACACTGATGTAATTTGTCAGGCAATGAGATTTTACATAGTTCTGCATTCACAGCACCTAGATTCCACTGCAACCCAAAGCAGGGTGCCAAGCAGATCTGTGAATGGGTTCATGAGGAAAGCTCTACTCTGGTTTTCTTTCCAAGGCCCAGAGATGATCATGTCACTCTCCTGCTTAAACCACTGATTCCTTGGTGCTAAAAATCTCCAGAGTGGAGCAGTCAAGGTTTTCCCAAGCCAGACCCAGGGCACCTTTTCAAGCCTTACCTCTAGCCACTACCTGACATGCAGCCTCTGCTTTAGCCAATCAAAACCACTTTACCGGTGCGCGCCCAGGATCCAAACTGGCGAACCCCGGGCCGCAGCAGCAGAGCGCGCGCACTTAACCGTTTGTGCCACCGGGCCAGCCCCTTGAAGCCACACTTGAAGATGAGTCATGTGGCAGCAGCATGTAAACTCACTCTCTGCCCTGCACTAAAAAGACTGAATATCCAGTGATGAAAGAGGGATGAAAACCTTAATATGCCACCCATGGAAAAGAGGGAGATGGAATAACACTCAAAGGAGAGATGATGTGGAAATTAAAACTCATAACCTGTATCTTATTTAATTTCTTGATCACCCACACATCTCTTGCAGCTACTTCAAACTGCAGTGGGTACCTCAACACCTCTGAAGGTGCATTTGCTAGCCCTGATTTCCCAGACTTGGCTTATTGGGTGTGGCACATACAAGTGGAGAAAAGTTACAAGAAAAAAAGACACTTGATAGAGATTTAGTAAGTACTGTGGTCTGCTTCTCCTGTTTGAGCAAATTCAGGCATTATTTTCTTAGCAAATACTAATTTTAATAAAGCAATTACATATAATCACATATATATGTATAGCAATTTCTAAATATAAGGAAATCAATACCTATGAATTTCTAATGTATATAAAATGTAATTTAGGTCTTCATTAACAGAAAAATTAAGAAATGGAAGATCAGGAATTAAAGCTCATCTGCATTATTTCTAGTACTATAATCATGAACATTGTATTTATTTTAGTCATTTTGTAAAACATAGCGTACATGTTCTGGTTATAACTATATTGAGGCAATTTGGGAATCAAAGAACAGACCACAACTCTCTGAAGCTGTATTAGAGAAAGGGTTCAGCTTTAAGTGAGACACATTTCTCCTGAGTGCTGAAAGAAATGTTACATGTTAGGAATAAATTAGGAAAAGCCTGATAAAGTCATATACAGGTCCTCATGTCACTGAGGTCAGAGTGATTCATAAAGGAACAAACATTACATTAATTCTCACTTTAAAGAACAAAATTCGCCAAAATATTGAGGATAAAACATCCTTTTTCATCTTAAATGAATATTAGATGAAAAGAAAATATTTCTATTTATTTAAGACAAGTAGTTTCCAGAGTGGATGTATTTATTTTTTAGATGCAAATATATTCCCCTTCAACACATATACAATAGTTATAATTTCTGAAAATTAAGTCTGCCAGAGAGAACTGCACTCTCCTTGACTCATATGCCTTAATCCTTCAATGCAGAACCACAGCACCTCACACTTTAAACAAACCAGAGAGGGCTCTAGAAAAAAGAACCTGTATCAGCTCAGAAAAGGAGTTCCTTATACTTTCTGGGTTTACTGAGATAAAATAAGATGACTTCTCTCATTTTACATCAAACACTAAATCTGAAGTAATAATCCTAACAAGGAATTGGCCAGTTCTGATTTTTACTTTCCTATCTCCAGCTACAATGCGACAGAACATAAAATTAGCGGCCTCAATGTAAACTGATTTTACACATGCCAAACATAACATCTAATTTTTTTTATCCAAAATCAATGATATAAAATGTGATTTGGTGATCTGAAATTAAAGGCTGCAAGTCTTAAGTACCCAGTTTTCCAAGAACAATCAATTAGAAAAAGAAAAAGAATCAAACACACACTCTGAGCATTTTTTTATACCCCTAAAACAGTCTCTGTATAAATTAAAACAGTACTTCAAACACACATATAATACAAACTAATGAATTGCATTAGAAACTCAAAAATTTTAAACACTTAACCCAGAAGTATACATAAATTTCTGTAAGAGTGAACAATATTGCAAACTAAAATAATTTATGACCGTGTCATGTTAACTCTTAGTGTACAGTACTAGGTTACAACAATAAGTGCAGTGAAAATGAACACAGAGGTCATTTTATGTAAGTAAATGGTGATCCTTCAAACGACATTAAATACTTGCTTTTCATAAACTTTTCTGGGGTTTTGACTTTGTAATAAATATGTAATAAATATCTGTAGTACACGGTACATGTTGAGCACTTATCTTTCTCCATTTGAAAGTCTTTCTCCAGAGTCATAATGTCTTAGAGACATCCCAGTGGGTGGGGAGTTGGGATTTTGCAGCAAGTCCATTAACAAGGCAATCTTATTATCTATGTGCTCCTGGAGTTTATACATTTGCTGATCGATGTAGTCCATAAGTTTCTTTTCCATCAGTTCCATATTTTTAGAAAGAACCTTCTCCAAGTAGGAGCAAACAGGTTGTTCTTTCATTCTAAAAATAAATTTAAAAATAATAATGTAATGATTATCTCTAATATTATACCCAAAACAACCAAACTATACTACAACAAGCAGCCAACAGACATTGCTGACATGTGTCTCCACAACTGTGCTCTGTCTCCTTATGACGTATTTCTAGGTTCTAAAATACATATATAACAGGTGCCCACTATCCTGAATGCCCAAAGCATTCTTCTTTAAGTCTTGAAACATTTAAGCATACAATTGAAATGAGAATATAAAAATGAAGATGACAGAATCTCTACCCTCAAAGAACAAGCCTTTTAGAAAGGGTCTTTTTGATTTTGAGCTCCAAATCAAAACTAATCCTGCCAAACTTTTTTAAGGTCTCCATGTATGTCTTCCAAGTACTTCCCCAAGCAACTCTACAATTTAAACAGTCTTGTCTTTTTTCATCCACATAACTTTACTAAAGTACTGAAAGATTCTTTTCTAATCTACTATAAAAACATTTAAAAATGAATGTAACTGGAATGGGCAAATTAAAGTAAAAATAATGAAAAGCATGCCAGTTTCTAAAGCTCACAATGAATGAACATTAGTGAATTTCAGAGTGTGGTCCACAAATCTCTGGGATCTCCACGACATTTTCAGGAGTTCTATGAGGTCAAAAGTATTTTTATAATAACATCAAGATGTTATTTGAACTTTTCGTACTCATGTTCTCATGAATGTACAGTGATATTTTCCAGAGGCTACACAACGTGTAATGTCATTGCTTTGATGACTAACAGAATGTGTGGCTGTGTATTCTTGTTTCCTAGAATTTCCCAAGGTATTCGGTTTAGGGTGTAAATAAGTACTTTTTCAGAGATTAACTCCATTTGTTCTCAAGTACTTCTACTGTGGTATTTCTAGCTATTGATTATATACACTATAATGCAACATATATGAGAATGCAACCAAAAGCTAATATAGATTTGCATAAATTTAAAACAATACCATTCTCACTAAACTTTTTTTTTAGAAAATATATATTTTCATAAAAATTGTCATTTTACTATATAATGGGTTTATTGTTGTCATTTATTTTTTTTGCTGGGAAAGATTCGCTTCAAGCTAACATCTGTTGCCAGTCTTCCCCTCTCTTTCTTTTTTCCTCCCTAAAGCCCCAGTACATAGTTGTAAGTCCTTCTAGTTTTTCTATGTGAGCCATCACCACAGCATGGCTACTGACAGATGGCGGTGTGGTTCTGCGCCGGGGAACCAAACCCAGGCCGCCAAAGCAGAGCGTGCCAAACTTTAATGGCTAGGCCATCAGGGCTGGCTCTATTGTTATTTTTTGACAAATAAATATTTTTCTATAGCTTACATAAAGGTTCTTTAGAGTCTTCAGTTATTTTTAAGAGTGTAAAGACCAAAAAGTTTGAGAACCACTACTCTAGAATATATGAAAGAGGTGTTTTTTAAAAAAAAAACTCTTTATTTTCAACCAATTATAGATTCACAGGAAGTTGTAAAGATACCTGAGTTCCCCAGTACCCTTCACCAAATTGTCCCAACGGTCTCATCTTATCTAACTATGGTATAATATCAAAACCAATAAATTGATGCTAGTATGGTATGTGTGTGTGCCATTTTATCACATGTATACACATTATGTAAATGTCACCATAATCAAGATGCAGAACTATTCCTTAACTACAAAGGTCTCCCTCCTGCTACCCTTTATTGTCACATCCATTCTCCTAATGCCCTCCATCCCTAATGCCTGGCAACCACTAATACAGTCTCCATCTCTATAATTTTATGTTGAGAATGTTATACAAATGGAATCACAGAGTATGTGACCTCGTTTGTCACTCAGCATGATGCCCTTGAGAGTCACCAAGTTGTTATGTGTATCAACAGTTTGTTCCTTTTTATTGTTGATTAGCATCCCACGATACGGATATACCAGTTTATTTAACCATTCATCTATTTTAAGACATTTTGGTTGTTCCAGTTTTTGGCTATTACATACAAATAAAGCTTCTGTGAACAACTGTGTACAGGTTTTTGTGTGGATGTAAGTTTTCATTTCTCTGGGATAAATGCCCAGGAGTGTGATTCCTGGGTCACATGGTAACCGTTTAGTTTTCAAGAAACTGCCAAAACATTTTTTAGAGTGGCTATACCATTTTACATTCCCACCAGCAATGTATGACACATCCACTTTCTCCATATCCTCTTCAGCATTTGGTATTATTACTATTTTTTAAGCATTTTATTTTAGCCATTCAAATAACTGCATAGTGGTATTTTGTGGTTTTAATATGCATTTCCCTAATAGCTGTAAAGTCACTGTTGATCATCTCTGCATGTGCTTACTTGCTATTTGTATATCCTCTCTGGCAAAATGTCTCTTTATGTCTTTTGCACAAGTTCTAATTCGGTTTTTTTTAATCTTGAGTTTTGAGAATTCCTCTTATATTTTAATTAAAGTCATTTGTTGGATCTGTAATTGGCAATATTTTCCCCCACTTTGTAATGTGTATTTTAATCCTCTTAACAGGGTCTTTCACAGGGCTAAAGTTTTAACTTTTGACCAATATATCAAATTTTCTATTATCCTGCTTTTTGTGTCACATCTAAGAAGTCTTTTCCTAGTCTTAGGTCTCTAAGATTTTCTCCCATATATTATTAGAGAAGTTTTATAGCTTTATGTTTTATATGTAAGTCCATGATCCATTTTGAGTTAATCTTTGTATAAGGTATGAGGTTTAGGTCACGGTTCACTTTCTGCCCTTTAGACAGCCAATTGCTCCAGCACCAGGTGTTAAAAGACTATCCTCCTCCACTGAATTTCTGTTGTGCCTTTGTCAAAAATCAGTTGCCATATTTGTGTGGGGCTATTCTGGGCCCTCTACTGTGTTCCATGGATCTGCATATCTATCCCTCTGCCAATACTACAGTCTTGAATATTCTCACCATCTAAGACTTGACATTGGGAACAGTGATTCCTCCCACTTTATTCTTCTTTTTCAAAGGTTTTTAGCTACTCTACCTCTTTTGCCTTTTCACATAATTTTTTTTTTTGAGGAAGATTGGCCCTGAGCCAACATCTGTTGCCAATCTTCCTCTTTTTCTCTTTTTTTTTCTCTCCAAAGCCCCAGTACATAGTTGTTTATCATAATTGTAGGTCCTTCTAGTTCTTCTATGTGGGAGCCGCATCAGCACGGCTTGATGAGCAGTGAGTAGGTCCATGCCCAGGATCCGAACCAGCAAACCCCGGGTCGCCAAAGCAGAATGAGTGAACTTAACCGCTACGCCACTGGGCTGGCCCCGCCCTTTTGCCTTTTCATACAATTTTAAAAATAATCTTGTCTACGTCTACAAAAAATCATGGTGGGATTTCAATATGCATTACATTAAGCCTGCCTATCAATGGGGAGAACTGACAACTTAACTATGTTAGACATTGAATTCATAATTAAAAAGTTCCCAAGAAACACTCAGCCCCAGGAGGTTTCATCAGAGAAATCGACCAAACATTTTAAGAAGAGATAACACCAATTTTACATAATCTCTTCTAAAATGTAGAACTCATTTTATGAAGCCAGCATTACCCCGATATAAAACCAAAGACAGTATAAGAAAAAGAAAAATACAGACCAATATCTCTCATGAATTAGATGCAAAAATACTCAACAGAATACTAGCAAATCAAATCCAGCCATGTATAGAAAAGAATTATACCCCACAAACAAGGGGGATTTATTCTAGGTATGCAAGGCTGGTTTGGTTTTTGAAAATTAATGTAATTCACCGTATCAACAGGCTATAGAAGAAAATTCATATGATCATATAAATAGACACAAAAAATATTTGAGAAAATCCAACACCAATATATGATGAAACTCTCAGATAACTAGGAATTAAGGCACACTGCCTCACAGTCCCTACGCAGCCTGACTTCCTTCCACTTTTTATAGTCTTTGTATGTCTGTTGTATTATGTCCAGGGATTTTTATTTGTAAAGAGGATCTGAGAGGAATGGGGACATTCCATCTCAGCTGGACCCAGAAGCACTTTTTAAATCTCTGTTTTATTTTTTTTTTGTGAGGAAGATCAGCCCTGAGCTAACCTCTGGCAATCCTCCTCTTTTTGCTGAGGAAGACCGGCCCTGGGCTACCATCCATTCCCGTCTTCCTCCACTTTATATGGGACACCGCCACAGCATGGCTTGCCAAGTAGTGCGTCGGTGCGCGCCCGGGATCTGAACCGGCGAACCCCGGGCCGCTGCAGCAGAGCGCGCACACTTAACTGCTTGCGCCACCGGGTCGGCCCATGTTTAATTTTTTCTGCTTTTCTTTTTTTTTGCCATATCACATACCAACTAGTTAACACTGATGTAGACTATCAACAATTGAAGACTAATGTTATGTTTCCATATCCTTACCAAATAAGAATCACTTTTTTCAATAACTTATTAAACTCCTCAAATTTCAATGCTATTGGAGACCTTAAGAAAATTTCAACCAGTACATCTACCTTATTTTACACGTGAAAAAAGTCTAAACTGAAAGATTTAAACAGTAAGGCAAGATAGTTAAGCCAGGACTATGACTGGAGTTCTGAATTCCAGTCTAGTGTAATACTTTGACACACTGCATCTATATAAAGGATGGGCAAGATACTAAATGCTTACCCCTCAATCAAACCAGGATTGCCAAAAAATGGGAATTATGAGATCAGAGAATAAGGGCCTGTGCTCTATAAATAATTACGAGCTTAAAATGTTTTGATAACTCCAAAAGTAGCCTGGGTCAAACATGATCTAGAAAGAAAATCTGTTATGATGGTTCATTGAGTATAATCAGTCAAAAAATGTACATATAATGGTTCCTACAGCCCCTCTCCATTCAGACAACTTGCTACGCCAACCCTTATCTGATGCTTGACAAGTGCTCAACCACCAGTTTTAGGCACTTATTTTAAAGCAATCCACTGCTTTATTTCCTGTAAGTGTGTTAATGGTAAAATGTTAAAGCTCCTAAAATTATTTCTGGAAATATTTTCAGGCAGTAGTTACTGAGACAAATCTGTTTTCCTCCAGCTGATTCCCCCACCTACCAGATCTAAACCACATCTTCCTAAAATAAATACTTACGCAACACCAACAATGCCTTCACTGGGCTTGGTGATGTTTTCCGGACACTTGGTGTTAGGTCCCACACGGAGATAGTTAACTTGACTACATAAATTCTGGAGAAAAGGCAGCAACTCAGAGTTAGGTATACTTGAGCTGTCACTTGCTTTCTTTGATAGGAAAGAAGATACTGCATCCTTAAAATCATTCTCAAGAAGAGAATGGTTTTGTGGCACAATTTTACACTCTTTGAGGTTTGTAATATTTCCTCCACCAGGTGGCTGCGTACTTTTAGTAATGTAAGCTTTCAAGTTTTTAGTCATGTTTCCAGATGTCGATCCAGTTCTAAAAGGAAAAGGTGTGGAGGATGACTTGCCACAGGCTCCTGAGGTAGATGATGATTGTAGGTCAATGATATGCTTGTATCCAGTATTTCCCAAAACCAACTGAAGCTGATCTCCAATGGGAATACAATTCTAAGCAAGGTAAATAAGTAAATGTTACTAGTAATATTAACAAAATGTTACTAGTAATATTAACAATAATGACAGCTAACTTTTGGAGTAATTTAGAGTTAGGCAATGCACATTCATTCGATCCTCAAAACATTTGTATAAAGCAGGGTACAATGACTATCCCAATACTAAGTTGGCAACTTGGCCAAGGTAACACAACTGGTAAGTGGCAGAACCAGGACATGAACCCAAGTCACCTAATTCCAGAGTCAAGGCTTTAATCATGTCACTGTATTTTTTCCTAAAGAAAATATTAAGGGGCTGGCCCCGTGGCGTAGCGGTTAAGTGCGCGCGCTCTGCTGCTGGCGGCCCAGGTTCGGATCCCGGGTGCACACTGATGCATGGCTTGTCAGGCCAGGCTGTGGCGGCATCCCGTTAAAAAAAAAAAGTGGAGGAAGATGGGCACAGATGTTAGCTCAGGGCCAGTCTTCCTCAGCAAAAAGAGGAGGACTGGCATGGATGTTAGCTCAGGGCTGATCTTCCTCATAAAAAAAAAAAAAAAGAAAATATTAAAATAAATACTAGCATACTTTGTAAAATTGCACTAACATACTTTAATGTTTGCACTACAAAGGACCTTCTTAATTTATGATAATAAAATGCAGTACTCTCAACTGAGTCACAATAATTGATAATTTTCATAGAATTAAATATCATTTGTCAACTTGCACATATGGTAAGCCAACCTAAGGATATTTTTTGCAACTAGGTTTTCATGCAAGATACACCAGTTACATACCTAAAGTTCGATATTCTATGGGCACATATGTGATGTTTTCATTGACTAAAATGAGCTACCTTTTGGCTATGTACACTTTAATAATTTGTAGGATAATAGATTATGTTTTGTGGCCTCAACTCAACTGGCTATGCTATATTTTCTGAGAAGACTCTGGCTCACTTTTGAGAGGAGGTTACACTGTCTCCTATAGAGGGGCATGTTCTTGCTATGCTCCTCAATTTTTCCACAAGAGAAAAGCAACACTACCTCTATCTGGTCTAGCTAACTGTTAAGTTATATGGCTCTATCCTAAATTCAAAACATAGAATTCTACTAGAGGTTCTTAACAGAGGATATCATCTCATACTTATTGTTGCTCAATACCTAGTGAGAGAGATTGAGGAAAGTATTATACGAGATTAGCTGAAGAAACTCAGTCCATACATATTCTAGATATTCTAAAAAACGATTCTTGGATTAAACCATACCAAAATTCACTCATTCAATAAATATTTACCAGAAATCTACTTTGTGCCAGGCACTGTTTCAGGCACTGGAAATAAGACAGTGAACAAAACAAGTGAAAACTGCTGTGGACCTTATATTCTAAGACAGCAGGGTGAGACAGACAACAAAGACAGACAGACAATATATCATGTGGATGGAGACTGTGATAATTACTGTAGGGAAAAATGAAGCAGGAAAGGGGAACAATGAGAGCCAGGGAAGTTGGTGGGGTGGGAGTGGGCGAGTTCCCATGGAACTTCTTTCACTGAACTGCACTTTGGAGGAATGCTCTTTATAAAGAAATGTTATCTTCTTCTATTGAACGCAAATTTTGAATAAACTTAACAGTATTCCCAGAACTATATACATTTATAAAATTTTAAAATCAGACAACTCTCCTTTGGCGGAAAGGAGCTCTACTCAACGGCAAAGCTCAATTATTTTTGGTAGTGGTATAATACTGCAAAAAAACTTTATGATAGAAAATTGAAAATTCTACACAAACAGCCATCATATTGGCAGTGGAATCAATGTCAAAATTGTACATGACAGCTAATTTAGCAGAAATTTTAATTAGAAAAATCCAAATGCAAATAAGGTATTTGCTATGTGAGTTTTTCTTTTCTGATACATCCTAATATTTTGATTATTTATAAGAAATTCACTGATTATAAAAATTAGTCTTATTTTTTCAAATGAAAGTTGTTAAGGCAATTTTTTTTCTCTTTGTATTAAACATCAAAAAATTCACAGGTAAGTTTATATGGCAGTGCAGTAGATGAAGCAACCTTAGGTGTTGGTGGCTATTCTTCTGCTTCTTTAATTTGATTTTATTCATTTCTTAATTTTCTTTGCTGTCTTATGTTGCCTTGCAAGGCACGTCAAACACTTTTAAAAGTAGGCAGAGGAATATGTAAAAAATAATTTATATATACTTATTGCTTAGGGTCTATGTCACGTTATGTGGAAAATGACCATAGAGCAGCCTAAAAGAACATGAAAGCACTTATGAAGAATTGTGTCCATATACTTACACAAGAATATGTAAAGAACTATCTATATATGTGGATAAATAATTTCATATATGTTTACATATACCCCCAGATTTCTGAAAAATTAAGTGTTTATCTCTGAACATCTTGTAGGATTTCTGAAAAGATTGTCTAACTTTTTTTATTATAAAAAATTCAAATAAGTATCACCTTGAAAAGGCAAGAAAAAAAGATATTTTTTATTTCAAAGGTGTTAAAAGTAAACAGTATAAATCTTGAATAACTGAATATATTTTCTTTGAAAAAATGGGGCACATCTTTTCATTCAGATAACATTAAATGACAACTATATGTTAGACACTTTGATATAGAATTCCTATTTAATTATTCTAAATTGCTAAAGCAAAAACAAATAAAAGCCAGCAAATCTGAACTTCAAATACAAGGAAATAAGAAATAACTTTAATAAAACTTTCAAGACAACAGGTAATCACAAGGCACAGGTGAAGCAGGGGGAGGTCCAGGACTTCTAACGCAGCTCCCCAGGTCCTTCAGGACAGGCCCTGCCGAAATTAACATATGAAGGTTCTTTTCTTTTCTTTTCTTTCTCTCTCTCTCTCTCTTTCTCTCTTTTTTCCCCCCAAAGCCCCAGTAGATAGTTGTATGTCATAGCTGCACATCCTTTTAGTTGCTGTATGTGGGACATAGCCTCAGCATGGCAGGAGAAGCGGTGCCTCGGTGCGCGCCCGGGATCCGAACCCGGGCCGCCAGCAGCGGAGTGTGCGTGCTTAACCGCTAAGCCACGGGGTTGGCCCAATATATGAAGGTTCTGAACAATGTGTGTGGTTACACCACTGCCACAGGAGTAGTTCTGATCACGAAACATCCCTACTTTATACTCAATAGTTATATAGCTTACATGACATTTTCCAGGGAAACTTTCCATAGATTCCTGGTTTGTTAACAATAAGCAATTCTAGAGAACCAGGTATATCCTATAAGAATCATTCCATAAATACAGCCTCCCCACTAGGAAGAAGTCTTTTATTAGCATGTTGAAAAGAAGATTTAACTGGATCACCTTTCTTCCCCAGGGTGTTCCCCAAATGTCCCCATATGTAATGATTTAGCATGTGTGTGGGGAAAGCAGGTTACAACACATGTGTTGGGTGGGAGGACGCATATGTGTTTCTATATGCATACAAAACTCCAGAAGGATACACACCAAGCTGAACAATAGGATGAGAGTCGAGAAAGCACTTTTATGCTTTACTCACTGCACTTGTGAATTGTTTGAAATTCATGGCAAAGAAAATGTACTATTTTTGTAATTAAACCAAAAAAACTTAAAGACATGGCAAAAAAAATCTACTATCCATGTCACTTTTTTTCAAAGGTCAAGTTTTTAAAACATAAAAATCAGTCCATGAATTGATTTTATTTAATTCATTAACTTCCTCTAATGTTGCCAAAATCTTGCACAAAAAAATAATTTCTTTTTGTTTTTACATTTTCAAGCTCTATCTCCACTGGATCATTCCCCTCAAACATTTGTTCTTAAATTATACTATGCCTAAGACTCACCTGGGGATGCCTATTTAAAATACTGATTCCTGGATCCCACCCTCTGGGTTTCAGGTCATTGGTGAGGGTTAGTAATCTGCACTTTATAAACATTCCAAAGGATTCCAAGGCAGGCTCCATATCTCTATCATTCCTGAAACAAACCCATTTTATCCCGGGATACCTCCCCATTCCAACTATCCCTTTACTACCTAATTCCTCAAAATTTGGTTTCCATCTCATTATTATTCAAACTGATCCCCTGAAGATCTCCAAGGAGTACTTAGTTGATAATCCAAAGGACATACATATTGTGTACTTATTTGGAGCCATAAACAAGACAAACTAGGTCTCTGTTTGCATGAAGCTTATATTTTAATGAGATAAACAGATAAATACATAAACAACAAAAATAGTCAAGGCTCTGATGAAAATATGATATAGGTTTAGAGGAAAAGAATATTTTAAACTGGGTCATTGGGGAAGGTCTCATTAAGGACATAACGTTTAAGCTGAAATCTGAATAAAAAGAAAAAGCCAGTCACGCTAAGGTCTGGGGAAAGAGTTTCTGGTGAAAGAAAATAGTTCAGAGTGCAAAGGGCCTGAGGTGGGAACACATTTGGATATGTGAGGAACACATACATCTGAATGTCTGGAGCAAGGTGTCCAAGAAGATGTGGTAGGAGATGAGGCTGAGAAGGCAAGGAGGACCCAGATCTTAGATGCCAGGGTAAGGAATCTGGATTAATTCTGAGTGTGATGGGAAGCAACAGGGGGCTTTACACAGGGGAAGGGCAAGTTTGATTTACCCTTTGAGATCATTCTGGTTGCCCTATGGAGAATGGACTGCAGTGGAGCAGGAGGAACGGTAGGAACCTCCTGAGGTAATGAGATGAGATAATGGTACCAGAGAAAGAAAAGTATGTACCTTGTTCTTTTTGAAAATCTCCTTTCCGTGGTTTCCACGATCAGCATCAACTCTCCTATCTCTGCCCACTGCTTCAATGCTATTTGTACTAAATTAATATTGGTAAATCTTACCAAGTTACAGGAGTTTTTTATTTGTACTATTTCTTTTAAACGTTCACATTAATCCCATGATCTTAGCAGTATTATCATTTAGATTGTAAACATGAAGAAATTTATCCTCAAAAAGATGAAGCAACGCCAAATAACACAGAACTAATAATGTCAGTACCAGCACCTGAATTCAGGTCTCCTGACATAAATCTTTTCTCTTGCTACTCTATCACACGGCTGTCTGCCATTCTTCTGCTTCCTTTTTCCTCTCCCTATATTCTCACCAAAAGTAGCTACTCTCCGAGGATCTTTCTTCCTTGCTGCAGTCTCTTCCTTCGCCACTTTGCTTATCATCCTAGGGGTACATCTCTCAAACCTCCCTTCCACTCCACCATCCTCAATCCTGTGTTTCCAAATGCTCACAACATTATCCCAGGTAATGTTTTACTCACATCTAGAACTCAATATTCCCAAAATTAAACTCCTTTTTCCCGAAGTAGTCTCCTCTCTTGGATTCCATTTACAGTATATTATTGGTATCACCATCTTCAAAACTGCAATTTCACGTTAGACTCTATTTTTATCTTGCAATACCAGTACTAACTTAGTTGTCAAGTCCTAATGGCTCCACTGTTTCAGTATCTCACAATCCAGCATCATCTTACTATGTCCAATTTTAGACCCTCTTTAACTCTCATCTGGATGAGGAAAGAACATGCAGTTGCTCTTCTTGTAGTCTCCCTTTCTACTGATTCATCTTTTTCTTCTGATTCACCTTACACATAACAGTGAATTAGAATTTCTTAAAATGTAGGTCAAAAACACCTACAAACTTTTAAAATAGCATTCAAAGCCCTCTATGATCCAGCCCCAATCTACTTTAAACTTTGTCTATCACTTCTTCACTCCAGAAAAATGAACTTCTACTCATTTACTAGTTATATCCTATTCCTTCTAGTATTAAAGATTTAATCCATACTATTTTCTGTCTCTCAAATTGCACCTCTCCAAATTTACTTGCCTAATCCCACACTTCTTCTTAAAAGGCCTAGATAAAATGAGACCATAGAGATCCCTAAAGACAGGCAATAGACTAATTGATCTTTGAACTTTCTAAAATGTTCAAACAGTGCCTTATTCACTGAGAAGGTGCTTAATAAATACCTGCTGAATGAATGAGTGAGTGAATTCATGGGACATTGTGAAGATCTGTAACAAAAATATTTTGTAAGAGAGTAGGTCTACAAAATGCTATTTTTACAAAACTAAATAAAGATAATAGTCAAATCAATAGTAAAAGTTAAAAGAAAAAATTTAAGTCACTACATATCCTTATAAAAAGCCATCATTTTGAAATTTTTAATGATATCTGAAAAGAAATCCATTTCTACTTACCTGCTGCTGAAATCTAACCATATTCATCAATTGCTGAGCTCCAGGTGATAACTTAGACCCCATGGACTCCATGATGGTTTGGACCCTCTCAAGGTCTATCCTTGATCCCAGAGCAGGAGAGCTTGTTGAAGAATTTGCTGATACGAGCTTCAGGTGTACCACGACCTTACTGATGAACACACGCTGCTTTTCACCAAAGGAGAGCAACTATGATAAAACAAAAAGTTCCAGAAAATAATAATATTAAACAATAATCACTATTTAAGGTCACTTTTTTGTATAAACTAGGAATAGTGAAGCACTCAGGAAAGCAAATATAAACTTTAAATACATTTTCATTTTTAAGTTTTTCCTAAAATTGTAATGGTCAGCACTTCCATTTATTATGAGGCTCAGAAGAACTATTTATCCTAAAAAAAATGTTATTTTCAAACTGAAAAAATATGCAGAATATACAAAAGGGGCTAAAATAAAGTTTCATTTACTTAATTTAAGGAATAAAAATAAACTATACCAATCTAAGACCTTAACACACCACAGCTAGCTATAATATTATTTAATACAAAATAAGGCTGTTCAGAAGCCCTTTCAAAGTATTTCCTAAAATACTAAATATAAGTGAGCCTTTTAGAATTTAGAATTATAAAAGAAGTTCAACATGATCTAACATAACCTGTTTGTTCACAGATAAAAAAGATGAGGTGAGGGGTGATTTTCTAACTTGTGAAAGGATTACCGAATTAGTAAAAGTCAAGCTTGGAACCTAGCTCTTCTGGCTTTTAAAGCATTGTCTGGTCCAATGCTTTATGTTGCCTCATTTCATCCATATTTCTGAACCAAAAGACATTTCATGTGTGATACAGACAACAGAGTAGCAAAGTGGAAAGGGAACAGAATTTAGAATCAGACAGACCTGGGTTCAGTGATGACTCTGCTACTTAGAGCCTGTGCGACCCTGGGCAAAGACCAAAATCTCAGTCAGGAATAAAATGAGGGAGGGTAATAACAATGATTTCACACGGTTGTTGGAGGATTATGTGTTAAAATTCCCAATACCACCACTGAGTAAGTGCTCAAAAAATATGCATCGGTAACTCTTATTTTTAACTTTTCATATACTGTTGTCCCAGAACAAGCTTTAGTAGGCCTAAGATTTCTCTCAACGAAACAACCCTTTGCACTCCCCCATGTACTTCCACAGAACAGTTATAAAAAACACCTTCAGAGACACAAACAGAACCATATATAACATGAAGACACAGGTCAAACCAGACCTATGATCCAAGAACTCTGAGTGTGGCAGCAAAGGGGTGACTGTCCTCAACAACTAAGGAACCTCCCCATTAAATTTATACACTTACCTCCTAATCTCCCTACTATCCCCTTTCTGCTTTTTAATCCCCATAGCCTTTCTCATCATTGAATATGGTACTTATTTTACTCAGTGAGTTGGCTTATTGTCTGTCTCGCCCACTAGAATGTCAGCAACATGAGGGCAGTCACTCCAGTTTATTATATTACTGCTAATTGCTACATGCCTAGTAGAGTATCTAGCATCAGTAGGCACCCAAATATTTTTTTGAATGAATATTTCATGTTGAATGAATGAACCACTCTATTTAAATAAATTTGGAAGTTATTAACATATACCATCTAAAACAACATCTTGGAATAATCAGTTCTGTAAATTTGCTACCTGCCTACTGTGAAAATCACTTATTTTTTTCTTATTCTCAAGTCTCATAACCCTGTATGAAGTAATGTGGAGATAACAAGATTATAAGGATTTATTTCCTTTTAAAAAATTTTTTAAAAACAGCTTTATTGAGATATAATTCACATGACAAACAATCAACCCATTTAAAGTGTACAATTCAGTGGATTTTAGTATATTCACAGAGTTGTGTAACCATCACCACGATTTTAGAACATTACCCTCAAAAAGCAACCCTGAACCCATTGGCAGTCACTCCCCTTCTTCCCCCCTACCCCCCATCCCTAGATAATAACTAATCTCCTTTCAGTCTCTGTAGATTTGCCTATTTTGGGCCTTTCATATATATATAGTATCATACAACATGTGGTTCTTTGTGACCAACTTCTTTCATGTAGTATAATGTTTTCAAGGTTCATCCATGTTTGTAGTTATGGATCAATAATTCACTGTTTTTATGACTGAACACTTCTCCATTGTATGGGTATACCATATTTTGTTTATCCATTCATTAGATGATGGATATTTGGGTTGTTTCCACTTTGTGGCTATAGGAATGATGATTCATGTACATAGCAAGGATTTATTTTTTTTAGCTCTCTAATTTATCCATGAGGTAGATCCAAAGAGATAAAGAGATTTGCCCCAGGTCACTCAGCTAGTAGGCAACAAAGACAGAATTAATATTCTGGGCATATGACTTCCAGCCCAGTACTCTTTCCCTAGACTCTAATGACATCACTAAAGTTCACTTCTGTGATATTTTTCATACTCAAGACACCAGTCCAAATCCCTTTAACTTTTAGATGCTCTTCTCTATAACTTTTCTCATTCCCTTCCATCTTTCTTGATATACTGAAGCCAACACTGCTTGTGGTTGTCTTGACACCACAGTTTTATATAAAGATAACCAGGAACTAAGTTGGATTAACTGTATTACTAAACCAACAGAAAATAAGTACAAATCATACAAAAACATTTACAGTTGTCAAATTAGTTAAAATTTAGTAATGACTTACCTTTATTTTACAAGCATGAGTGGAGGACTCCAATTTTAAATATTTTTTGTAGAGAATAATTTCATGTTCACTAAAAATAAAATAGAATTTAAATTATTTTTACTTTGATCATCATTTTTAATAGTGACACTTAAAAATGAATTGTTTCTTGATCATTACTTAAATCCTGAGATTCAATTTGTCTGGTAAGGGACAAACAGTTGGGGGATCGCTACTCAAGTGACCAGGTTACAAGCACTAGTTTCTACCTGTGTGAAAGAACTGAGATTACATAAAACTATGGGGCACAGAACATACAGTAAACCTTAATAAACAAAGCTATTATTTTCAAAATGCACAATATATAAAATAGTCCATATTTTGAGTTACATTAAGGATAGACTAGGGTAGTATGTATTAGAGCCTAGGGAAAAATCAAACTATAACGGGTTGAACTACGGATTAAACATGTTGGGGCGGCACAGTCTTGGGCCCGAGCACCATTAGTGATGGGCTTCTTCCAAAAAAAAAGTTTTCCAAGTTCCAGACTGATTGCCAAATTAACTTTCGGGAAAACAGACCTTTGCGAGTTCCTGGAGAGAGCCAAGAAGCGGAAATAACGACTGCATTCTCCAGCCCAACAGTCTGCCTCACCAGCAGCACCCTCTGCGTGGTCACCTTCCCTCTATTAGCTCTAGATCTCCACGTTTATAAAAACGAGAAAGCTGATCCAGACTGTCTCGAAGATCCCTAAAGTTCTATTCCTACGGGTATGTTTTTATCTTCTCTCCCCCGATGGCCGACCCGATGTCAGAGCATCAAGAAACACTGCAAAAGCCGAGGAAGATGACAACACTCCCTCAGAAGGACGATCCACGCGACGACGATAGGGCGCAAACCTGTCATCCCGAACACTGCAGACATGCTCGCCCCGACCGGTTCCCCAGTACTCGTCTCCTGAGTACACTTCCATGTTTCTCGCCGAACTCAACACGCCCACAGAAACGATTTCTTCCCCTCCGCCGGGGTCGCATCTCAGGTAAAGGAAGCAGGGCTTTTCATCTCGGCCGTTCAGGCTGCTCCTCAAGATCACCAGACCTCGGCTGAAAGGAAAATGGTCCCAAACATCACACAGGACGGTGCTCTGGACCCGCTCACAACCCGCGCCCCGGCCGCCGCCTGTGAGGCCCGCGCAGCTCCCCGAGCCCCCGACACACGCTCAGCACCGGCCCCGGGAAGCGGGCGCTCCCACACCGGCCCCCTGCGCCTCCTCCTGACCTCGGCGTCCCACTCGACCCCCTAGTCACCTCTCACGCCACTACAACCCGCGGGCACCTAGCGCGCACCGGGCGGGGAGCAGAAGACACGCCAAGACAAGAGCATCTTGTGCGAGGCTACGCCGACGGAGCTTCCCGACAGCCGTCGTCTTTCCGCGCCCGTCCGGTCGCCACGGGGCTTCCGTCCGGCAGCTTCGGCAGGAGCGGCGGACTCCGGCCCGACGGCCCGCGGGCGGAGCGGCCGGCACCGGGCGGACGGCG